CGGATATAACCGAAATAGTCTCTTTCAGTTCAACAGCCTCTCTTCGAAAAGTGCAGAATAGCCTGATTGAGGAGGAGAAGCGCGTTCTGGAACTACGTCAGAAAGCTCAAGGAAGAACAAGCTCAGTTATCAACCCTTCAGTCAGGAAGCGAAACAAAGAGAAGAACAGCTCAAGAACGAGATGAAGTTGCGACAAGATCAGGTACAAGATCTTATGGCCATTACTTGTCGTTTTTTTGGCAGTGTAATTGTGAATAGATTCTATTGAAACTTCACTCCAAGCTTACCTTACGTTAACACATTCACGGTCGAGAATCGTGGCGAAACGCATGCTTGGAGTGTACAATATCTTCTTTTAAAAATATGTTTTTTCCTTACATTTTGATGGATATTTGGATAGCGGATTGCGTCGGCGTTGCTAGTGCGACATAGCGCTGCCAGTGGTCTCACGCGCGTGGCATTCGCAGCAGGACCAAATTGATTAGACGTAGCCGCAGACTGTTGACTCGACTTGCTAAGTATTTCGCTTGTTAAGTTGCAACATAGATGGCGTACAGTGCGCTAGTATGTCAACCGCCGCAAACTGGAGTTTCTATTCATGCGCACTTCATGATATTTTGTAGCATTTGTAAGAATAAAAGTTACACTTTTGACGGCTTCGGCCTTTTGAAAGATGGATCGTTGGTCCACGGGCCCGTTAAAAGTGTCTACCACGGAGCTCTCTGAACGAGCTTACGGATGCTTTTTTTCTGGAGCATACCTATTACCGAAACGTGAAGCAAAGAGCTTGACCATTGCTTTGATATGCTAACTGCTGTTTGAGCCGCAGTTCGTATTCGGAAAACGGAAGCAAGGATGCTGAGTTATGGGCAAAATGGTTAGGCAGCGTTCAGACTTCGCGATGGCAGCGCTTCGGTCGCGCGTTCGACGCGATCGATGCAGTCGAAAGCATGCGCATCGATCGTCGAATCGCGCGACCGAAGCGCTGCCGTCGCGAAGTCTGAACGCTGCCTTAGTGTTGCGCGTAGTTGCGCAACTTCATCACCCGAAGAAGAACAGAGACATATCCCGTACCAAACTACTCCTGCGCAATAGTCTTTGGAATATTGCTGAAACCATTTCAATGATTTTCAGTTTACTGCATGTTGTTCTGAAAGGCACCATGGTTGTGAATGTATAAATATATAGCCTTTTTTTAGAAAATCTATTGAAAGAGAGGATGTGCTTGCATGCTTTTTCGCTTTCTCTTGCCTTTTGCATTTGTAATACAGTCGAATGTTTTTATAATTATGGATCGTATTCTTTAGGCTTCTCCAGCGGCGTCTAAGATCCGTGAATTAGAAGAAATTAATGATAAAATGCGATTAGAATTCATAGCAAAGGCGAGTGAACGCCATTATTGTCGTTTGCCGCTTACATACGCAGGCCTCATTCACATTTACTTCGTAATGAAGCACAGCAAGCACATTTTGGTTAGCTTGATCTCGCAGCATTAGCCAAGCTGGAAGGTGGTGGTTGGTATGGCTATGAACTTTCATATAGGAAAATGTTGATGCTACTTGTTCAAGCGACACTACGAAAACGTTAATCTAAGAATGTGGCTGATATCGCTTTGCTTGCAGACGAATGTCGAAGAAATTGTGGTAATGGTTCGGGGGATATATGGAGTCTTGCTCGCAGTGGACGCCGCTACGTTTCAAGGGGCTGGCTTTGGTGCGGCGCCAGCGTTTTCTTCTCAACTGCGGAAACTGGCAGGCAACCACAATTGGCAGAAAACTGGCTGGCGCCACGCCAAACCTAGCTCTTTCTCCTCTGAAAACGCTCCAGCGTCCACAGCGAACAAGACCGTATACGTAATCAGGTGGGAGTTATAATCATTTTACTGGTACAGTTGTCCAATAACCACAAACGTACCGCTTTCATTTTTGGAATTTTTGATTGCTTTTGTGTTGTTTTTCCAATTGCTATTTGAACAAGTAGCATTCACATTTCCTATTTGTAAGAAGTTCGAGTATTCAGCGAGCGCGAACTTCCTCTTTTGTTCAAAAGTACTATTTGATTGCAATAGTGCGTGAAATTTGTTTTACCGTTAAATTTGCGGACCTGATTGGACTGGTTGTAAGAATAAGGATTTCCTTCCAGGAGAAAGTAATCAGTGATCTCCGTGAAGAAATTGATAGAATCCATGCAGAGCACAAAGAAAGTGTTGCAGCTGAGCACAGCAAGCTTCAAGATGCTCAGGTATGTGAAAAAGTCCTTGAAAAAATGCATTTGTGCACTGCTGTACTTGCATTAGTTTGAGTTCTATATTTCACGGCTGTTGTGGGGGGGGGGAATGGTGGAATGATGCTGCCCTTCAAACATTGAACATTGTATAAACAGCGCGCTCAGCGCTCTGAATAGGTCGTGTTCACACTTAGAGGTAGCGTCCATCAGCGACCACTAGCATTCCGGGCGCATTTCGAGCATCCGGCAGCGTCAGCGTTTAGGAAAGTGTAGATATTGATCTAGCGAACAGCGCGTCCAGGAATGGAGAG